AGCATCTGTGTCAAAGCTCACAGTCCTACTGGGAAGTGGGAGAAGTTCACTGGGCTGTAGCAGCACCTGTGAGAGAGGTTGTATTTCATATGGAGGAGGTGGATGCAGTACATTGGGAATGGTAGGATGATTGTCAATGCAGTCCCACAGGGAAGAGCACGTTGGAGAATGCTCAACCGTCCCTTTGAACAGTGCTATTTCTCTCTTGCATGATGACAGATTGGTTTGTTATACATGGGACTTTCTTCGCTCTGCATTTTGCTCTCCTCCCCTTTATCTCTTCTTTTTGTCTCCTCTCCTCTCCTCTCCTCTCCTCTCCGTACAGTACACACTGAATCTCATGCAGTTTGAGCTTTCCAAGTGTACTGCCAAAAGCAGCAGAGGTGGAAGATCCTACAGCAGTGTCTGCAGGAAAGAACTGAGAATGGAGGTGGGTAGGTCACCACCACAGGGGAGGGCTCAGTGATGATGGTGGAGTCCTGGCACTGCCTGACACAGGGCTCATTGCAACTGTTGGCCAGTGGCGTTGGGCTGCAGGGCTGGCAGGGAAGGCAGGGCTGACAGGCACTGACAGTAGCAGGACATGTTGCAGAGCTGGTGGTGCACCTGGGAGAGATGGCAGGGGAAAGCAGAGCATGCGGTTGCATGAGGAACAGCCTGTCATCCCACAGCAAAGGGATCCAAGGTATCTCATGTGTGAGGAGGTGAGGCTATACAGGGAGGCATATAAAATTAATTCTCTTTAGGTCCCAAGGACCCCATAAGTAGCAGCGATGCCCAAGAAGGCTTTTTTTTTCTAGCCTAGAGTTCAGAATCTATTTAATCAAATACTTTGTCTCCTTTCATACAAGACCTTTTGCCCTCTTCCTTCTTTCATTGCCAGTAGCCTCAACCCCCACCATAGGGCTGAGTTGACGTGTCTATTCAGACAAGAGCACATCCTAGAGGAAGAGAACAGAGATTCCAATTCACCCGTTTCACAAGAATAAAAAGGGGACTGAAGAAAATGAAAGAGTGAAGAAATGACCTGGTTCTGCACTGCTCCAGGCCTACAGGTATCCTTTGTGGAAGTAATAGTTTTCTGAGAGGCTCAGCTGCAAATCCTGCCAGCTAATGATGTGATCTGCATTTCAGATTCTTTCATTGCCATCTCTGATTACTGTGTTTATGCCATTTTCATTCCTTAATGGATATTTATTTTGAGGACTGGAATGAGAATTCCAAGAATTTCCATGGAAGGAACATGTCATTGAGTAAGGTCATAAGGTGCATCCAAAGTGCTGGAGGATTTG